CATCAAATTTACCAATTTTAACACAACAAATTTCTGTTTTTTTTTTTTTTTCATGAAAAAACTCTTTAGTCATAAGACTGAATTCTTAGCTTTAGCAGCAGCAGCAGTACTACTTGCAGATCAGAAATTAAGTTTAAAGATGCAAATAGTTTATAACTTGAATGCTTGTGGACAGCTAAGAGCGCAGGTCTTAGGCCCAGGAGATTTGGTGTGTCCCGAAGATGCAGGAGCAGACCTACTTCTATTAATATTTTTTTTAAGGTTATGCTTAGGTACATGCAAGGCCACCGTGCAGTGAGTGTTGCCATGGCCACATTTGGTTCTCACACAGAGTGGCAGTGGGATTGGCGAGACGGGCGGCGTTTCCTGCGGAGGATAAAGTCAAGGTCCCCCTGGACTGGTGAGTCATTTGGGGCAAGATGGACCTAGTCTAATGGAGGTGAGCTTGTCTCTTCGCAGGTGGGCAAGCGACGGGGCGGGAGAATCCTGGCCACTGGGATGGTCAAGAAGCAGCGGAAGGAGGCGGAAAGTGAAAAGGTGAGGATAGATGTATGAAGAGATAGCTAGAAATAGGAAAATTTTATTTATGAATTTATTTATAATATTTTTTTGCCACACCTTTTGGTTGGCATGAATATAAACATAAATGTTTGTAGAAAATGATGTATATGCAAGAGGAATAAGCATATATATTTCGATGAGACTTGTGCATAGTTAGGCAAATCCGACAGATGTCTGACAAGATTTAGGTTTAGATTGCCAGCTTTTTAATATCATTCAGTTATTAATAGGGGACGGTCTCCTGATTCATTACATGTCATGTAAAACAATTCCTCTGATATCCTTTTAACCCATTTACACTTTATGTCCTATCAAGTCATGATAAAAAATTAACTGATGGATGACACCTAATCACAACATGAACCTATTTCATGGTGGCTGGATGATGCCTGGAGAACCTGGCTGTAGGCTGTATAGTAGCCCAGATGTGGATTAGTGTGCAGTCATTTTACCAGTCAGGAATGGGTTAACTGACCATTACAAAAGTGTTTAACAAGTCACACAAACATGTTAGGGATAAATTGAAATGAATAATTGGGTAAATTGGCTTGGTGTTTAACCTTTATCCATGTTATAGTCTAGAAAAGATTATGGTATTAAGAGGAGAAACTTTTCATTATTCCTAGTAGTTTATTAAGGTTCACTAGAAATCCTAAAAAGCAGACAAAAGCATATGACTAGAAGTATGGGATAGGTGTATTATAAAGTGAAGATGATATAAAGTCATGATATTTAAATTTGGTAAGCAAATGAATTGGTGTAATTAACACATATAGAACTCTTACCTGTTTGGATTGTATACTAATTGTTCTCATTATTTTTTTTAGCAGCCTGATGGTGGTAAGACTGATGCTTGGTCTCAGTATATGAATGAAGTTCGGAAATACAAGGAACAGTCCTGTGAAGAAGAAGGGAAGAGACGACCGTTAGTGAAATGATTGGTGTCCAAACTTAATTTAGTCTGTATTTAAGATGTAATATAGTTGGATGGTCAATCCTGTTTTGATATACTTTAGCTTGAATGGTTCTGATGGCATGACCGTTTGGAAGAATCAGCTGAGGCTAAAGAGGAAAAAAGACCAAATACAAAGGACTTATGAATGTATAATCAAACCTCATCTTAAGGGTCAGATGCTCAAGCAAAGGGAGTAAGTTGATAGCATTTAGAAGTTTAATAGTTTTCTGGTTGTCTTTTAGAGTACTAGTGAGAGATGATGTTGTCTATATGTCTCTTGGTACTATTTTTTAGCATCTAGGCTCTTTTGACTCTGTAAACTGAGGATTATTTTACTTTTGAAGATTTGGAATGTCTCTCAGTCTTTTACAACTTTCATCCATTTCACTAAACAATTTGCTCTTCTAATGTAAATCAAAGATTTACCAACATACTGTAGATAGTAACATACTTATGCATCAGCTTTTAATATTAGATGGGAACCAAGGTTGAGAAAATATTAATTTCAGTCCCAACACACATTAAACAGCAAAAGTAATCTTTAGCATTTGATTGATTACTAGTCTCACATTTCATTTTAGAGTGACTAAAAAAAATTTCATAGGTGTCACTCCAAGGTTTGATGTGCAAGAAGTTGACATAGCAGTTGTTTTTAAGGTTTGATGTGTGTTTGTCCTTAAAACTGTACTTACTTTCAAAGTGACTTTTTCTCAAAGCTATTTATTGTAAGCGGTGATTACATGCAAATGTAGTTGTATTAGTCTTTCCCAAATGAGGGGATGCCTTCCATAGATTCCTGGCACTCTTTCTTCCATTGCATCGTCATATCCTGTAGCACAATTCGTTCAGGTTTTTAAGGGGATTATGTTCGTATGTAGTTTGGTAAAGGCAGTTGTGAAATGGGTTTGCTTTTGGAAAGTTCTATGAGAGAAGCACATTTGAGATAGGCATTGATAAATACCCTTTTCTTACTTCCCCCCCTCCTTTATAAAAACAAAAATTGCATGTATTTAGTAGCATCTGTGCTGTCCAGACCAGGTATCAATTTCAATAACAGTTTTTATTCTTTGCTTATATTTTATTCATTGGATAATTGAGCCAAATAAAATGGATTCTCATCGTTATAACATGGCCATGACTATAACTGTATTTTTGATTCTGTGTAAATATTCAAAGCATATTTTTTAGACACTATGTCTAAGAAATCAAAATATATTGAAAAAGAAAGTTAGTAACTAACAATATGTGTGGGAGTTCCAATAAAGGTAAATTAAGATATTTGAAAATACAGTAGTTATATTTCTATTAGTTGGTAATTACTAATAATTGTGATCATGTACATTGTAAAATACTTATGTAATGAGATTTCTGTTATTCTTGAGGAAGTGACTTGTATTAAGAATGAATTTTTGAAACTGAAAAGATTCATCAACCTTAAGAGAAGTGAAATGAATGATCTTTTTCATTACCAGCATTTAAGAGCTTTTTGTAATTTTTTGCAATATTTATTTTCCAAGAGCCTTACTTTCTCTGGTTAGCTGGTTATTGCTCTCTTCCAAACAGTAACCCTTTTGTATTTTACTTTAAAGTGTATGTGATATATACATATCAGCATTTAATTTTCATTGCATATGATGGTTGATTCTTACTCTTATGATGATTGTATTTGCAGTTCACATCCTAAACGAATGGCAATATTATACAGAATTGATATTCTTGTTTTGTACTTTTGTTTATTTTTTTCTTATCATCATTGGAACAGTAAAATAATCACAAAATTCTATATTATTAGGCCTGCATAGCCTGGAAATTCAAATATCCTTGAGAAATTGATTTTTGAAACTAAAAGAAAGAAGCTTAGTGGTTCCCATTCAAAGAATCAAAGTCAACTGGATGTCTGTATTTTTTATGAAACTGAAGACTTGTACAGTGTGCACAATACATATCCATTCTTTAGTACTGGTGAAAAACCATGAGCATATATAAGATAAGATTATTGTGCCAACGTATCTGTACAGCATTTGTTTCTGTGTAAGATCTATGGAAAAGGGATCTTGAAATTTGCTTTCAGTGAGTTCCAATGCCTGACAAACATATTGTGATATAGGCTTATATACTTCTGAACAGCTGATACATTTATTGTGTTGTATATACTTTGTTACTTTTTTTAAGTATGGCGATAATTATCTCAAAACTTGTTTTGAAATAATAAAGCACAGGCAGGAAAATGTGTATTAATTGAAGATTAAAACTGACATTATTGGTGTTGAAAGGCAGAGAACAGTGATTTGATTGTTATCAAAGCCTTTAGAGTATAAAAACTTAAATACTATAAGGAAAATGTTCCAATACAGCATTCAAAATTTTAGATATGAAATATTGGAAAACAGCGATAACTGGGACCTTGTAGTTCGCCTGCGTCCCAATTATACTGAAGTGTAGAAATAAAACACACACACACACACACACACACACACACACACACACACACACACACACACACACACACACACACACACACACACACACACACACACACACACACACACACATACCAAAAATACACAAAAAAACACAAAAAATACACAATCACACAAAATACACAATCACACACACACTCATTCACTGTCTTTCATACTCTCACACTCGTACTCCACACATGCGGATACAAACTCATAAACACACATCTACACCTGTATATATATATGTAACATACATATATAGTATGTGTATGTATATATATATATATATATATATATATATATATATATATATATATATATATATATATATATATATATATATTGTAATGAAGAGGTATGCTTTGAACCCATTTCCTATACAAGTTTTTCATCATGAACATGAGTTAAAAATTCATTAGATATTTTCCATTAGCTATTTTTATTTGATTTGATACAAATAATTGAGTTGGTTTGTTTGTGTAGATATAAAGGGATACTTACAGTATATCAAGTTAATAAAGGTTCATATATTTATAAATTTCAAAATTATTGTTCATGAAAGGAAAGATGGTATTACCTTTTTCAGGAAATATTTAAGAAAATGTAAATTTTTCTCTAGGTTATATAAGGAATAGACTAAATACTCTCGTCTTTAACAATTTTACCAAATAAAAATCATGACTTTCTATTAAGAGGACTCCAAAATGGGAATTAGATTGTGATATTGCTGTATCCCCCTTTATTTGTGCAACTTCTTCGGCAAATTTTACATTTCATATCTTGTGATGTTAATTATTAGTGAGCACATCTACAATTAGCCTGTGTATTTTTTATTTTTTGTTCATGTGAAGATGTTGCATGGTTCTGTCTCAAAAAAATTTAATATTGTTTCATATTAAAGAAAGAATACAAGTAGTGTTTCATTCTTTTCCTACTGACTTATAAAAGGTATTTGTATTATGGTTATATTAGAAAAGGGAGGAAAAATTAGTAAAGAAAAAAATATTTTTTTATAAATTGTAAAATGTACATATATATTTGTACTCTAATATTATCATCTTGTTCTTATGAGAAAATATATTTTGTAACGATTGGATTTCTTTTTCAAGTTTTGCAGGATAAATTTAAAAAATACAGTTTAGACAGCATGAAGACATTTAATGTTTTATTTTTAAAACTAGCAGTACATATGTTGACATGATTAAATCCTACTCTTGGGAGATCATATAAAAGGAAAGGAAAGAAAAAAAGAAAAAATGCATATCAGTAAGTTTTCAAACTAGAAAGTGAAGGGAGCAAAAGCTTTACCATATAAAAAATTGATAAATTTGGAAGATATTCTGTAACTGATACAAGTAAAATATTCTGAGTATCATCTTCATAGATTTTCAAATAAAATCACTATCAGCAGCAATCTGTTGCCACAGGAAATTTGTGATGAAGAACTGGGAGTGCGATGATGTGTCGAGCTTGAAAGGGGTGATGTCCCTCTTCTCTGGTCGGAGAATGACTGAAGTCGGGCAGTTAAGGAAATTTTGTCTACTCTGCAACTGAAGCTTTCCTCTATAAGTAATCATAACCAATAAAGTATCCAAAACAAACAAGCAAACAAAGATACAAAAGCAAACATGAGCAAACACTGCACATGTACTATATAAACAAAGAAAGCAAGCATGTAAATAAAACTGCAGTATGATTAATGGTTACAAAGCAAAATAAATATGCCAAACATCAAAGGACATAGTCATACAGAAAAGTGTAAAAACAGACATTAGTTGATGATAAGATGTGCTATATGCTAAAGTTTGTATAGCAGTTGAGGCTAGTATGGCACTGAAAGGGGCAAAGAGGGGTGAGGGTAGAGAGGGTGGGTAAATAGGCTAAGATTGGTATTAAAAGGTAATGAGGGAAGAAAAGAAAGAAAGAAAAGAAAAAACTTTTAAGGAAGAAGTATGGGATTCTGCAAGGATGTGTAGTTAAGGTAGGGATTAGTAAAGGGAGAAAGGGGGGTTTAAGGGTGGTTAGATTACATTCAGTAGGGAAGAATTAAGGAAAGGGGGTTATTGTGACGAAGTCACATGTGTATCTAGGGGGAAGTAGAAAGGATATTGGGGAAGGAAGGGGGATGGTGCAACTGAAGCAAAGGGAAGTGGGATGTGTTGGGAGGATGAGGTGTAGAGGGGACACAAGTATGAGGAGGATGGATGTTGGCAGTGACTTTGAGTGTCGAAGGAATGGGAGTAGAAACTGGATGATGGATTTGGTCTAGGCACTTTATCTTGGGTCATGATTAGATAGTTTTGAATATTTTGGGAGAGTTTCTGAAGTGGAATTGGTTGGGGAGGTATGAGAAACAAAGGTTTTCTTATGAAATGAAGAAGAGGGGACATGTTTTAGGGGCACAGGGAGAGGCTGATGTAGGAAAAGATGGGATGAAACATTTAGCTTGTCTTGTGCAATGAGCTGAAGGAGGAGGGAGAGGGGTAGTTACCTAGGAAGTAGAGCCTGAAGTGTCTGGAATAGTGGTGGAGATTGAGGTGTCTGGATTTAGAATGGCAAAACAATTTGACTGGGAGAGGGAGGGGGTAGAAGTGAGATGAGAAAGACATACTGGGGGTGATGTAGAAAAAAACCTGGGAGGTAGGAGGAGAAGCAGAGCAAAGAAAAACCTAGTCTGCATGCCAAGTTTGAATCTGGGATTTGCCATCCCAGATTCAAACTTGTAGGTATGGCAGCCCTGTAAAACACATTATGGGAGCCATTACAATTGGCACATGCGCGGGATTCTACAGAGGCTTGATCGATCATGACCAGGTTGGGCACACAAAGGACATTGGGCTGTGAAGTGGCAGTGTTTGGCGGGGTGGCATAAATGCCAGCAGTTCTGAATTGATGGGGGATGGGGGGGGGGGGATGATATGGTTGTAAAGGGAGACATTCTCTGCCTATATAAACATCAAAGGGAGGTCATGTCTATGAAAAGTAATCTTGGCAATATTTGAGGACTTACAGCAGCCTCTAGGGAGAATGGTATAGTATTGTACTAATACTGCATTATATTCCATTAGGCAGGCAAGCAGGTCTTCTCCAAAATCTGACTAATATTTGTCATAAGACAGGGCAGTTTGTATGGAAGATGGAGACAGTTCCAGTGCAAGTACTGAGGGAGGGGTGAGGCTGGGCAGGAATAGGTTTGTCAGTGAAGTTAGTTAGGGTTGATAATGCTTTAGCTTGGAAATTGGATGTAACTGTGACAAGGTGGGAATGATCAGGGTGGCTGGGGAAGGAAACTTTGCTTACTCGTTTTGGAGGTATTGTTGGAAGACGAGTGTGTTGTCAGAGTAAGGGGCTGTAGAGGGGACCACGAAAAATCAATCACATTGGTTGGGCTAAACAGAGTATTTATTCAGGTTTGTAAAAATGGGGGTAGAAGGATGGGGATGTGTGGAAGAGAGGTGGACAATAAGGTTGCAGAGTAATAATAAGGTAGGGGGGTAGTAGACGAAGAAGGCTTTAGGGGTGGAAGAGCTGAAGAAGAGGAAGTTGGGAGAGGAGGAATACTTTCTGAACATTGAGGAATGACTTTGGTGGGTGGTTTGGCCTGGACTGAGGTGATAGTAGCTACTGAGGAAGGACTATCAGTCAGAAAGAGAGCCTGGGGTTGGGGAATCAGGAGAATGTAAATCTGCAGGGCTAGTTGATAAAGGGGCAATCCTCAATGCCCCTAATAAGGGTGCAGTGTTCCATGCTGGCCATGGTAAGAATGAAGTATGTTGGGAAGAGAAATGATACACTCTGAGGCCCAAGATATGGGCAATCCCAGCACTGCTAAGTCTGCTAAGCTCCCCCCATGGCAACAACAGGCATGGGATTGAGGGGATGTTAGTTAATGGTGAAAGCAAATGTAAAAAAATAAATTAAAGGTCATGTAGCAATATGGAACAGCATTGTGGTTAAAAGGGTAAAAATGTGTTAGGGTGATTGGATTAGTAGGCACCAGGGAAGTGGTAAAGATGGGAGTATCTGGATTTAGAATGGCAAAAGAATTTGACTGAAAGAGAGCTGGGTACAGGTAGGATGGTAAGGGGCAGGGGAGATCCTGAGATATCTTGGAAAGAAGGGAAAGGAGCAGAGTGAAGGACAGCGTTGGAATAGGTAGTGAGAGAAGAACTCATCGGTGTGCATCCTGACTGGCCTCACATAGAATGAGGCCAAGTTTGAGTCCAAGATCTGCTACCTCAGACTTGAACTAGTAGGTAGGGCAGCTCCTATAAAATTAGCAATATTGATGTAGGACTTACAGCAAGCTCTGGGAGGAATAGAATAGCACTGTGCTGATACTGCATCACATAAAGATGCAAGCAAACAGTTTTTTTTTTAGTCTTACCAATCCTTGCCATATACAGGGCAATCAGCCAAGAAGATGGAAACAGTTCTGGGAAAGCATTAAGAAAGGAGTGGGGCCGAGCAGGAATAGGTCAGTGAGGTCAGTCAGGATAATACACAAACTTTGAATGCAGATGTAACTATGACAAGGCAAGATTGGCTGCAGAAGGAAACTTTGCCTCCTTGTTTTTGGAGACATTGTTGAAAGAGGAGGGTATAATCAAAGTAAGGGGCTGTAGGTGGAATTGCAAAAATTAATCCCACTTAGCTGGGCTAAATAGCATATTCAAAAAGTTTGTAAAGGTGGAAGTAGTAGTAGGACAAGGCAAGAGAAAAGGGGTGATGCTTAGTGAGGTAATGCCGTGGCGAGGAGGACAGTAAGGATGAATAGCAGGAATCAGAGAGGAGGGGGTAGAAAATGAAGAATACTGTGCAGATGGAATGAAGGATCTTTGGAGAGAGGAAGGTATGTATTCTAAAGGTTGGATAATGATCTGTATGTATAATTCGGAATGGATCAAGCAGACAGCAAGCATGGTGGGGATAGCAGCAGCAGTGGTCAAAGCCATAATCAAAGGACAGATAGGTTGAAAAAACAGAGAAGTTAATTTCGGATGAAGGAACAAATCTCAATCCCCCTAATAAGGGTAAAAACAATTTTGGACGAGGTGAGCCTGAAATATGTGGGGAAGAGAAAAGGTTTACCCCTCGGAATACCATGCCCATGGCTCCCTGAGGCTGTTCACGACTAGCACAAAGCCTGCCTTTCATTCATTCAGCATGGCTCTTTCATTTTAGGAAGTAGACAGAAGAAGTGATTGGAGAAGAGAAAGAAAAGGCGAGGGAGAGAAGACAAGACCATTTAAAATTGGTTGAACCAAGGGCGGATGTCTAAGATAGGGGAAGATCCCAACGCTGGGCCTTATCCCTCAGCTCCTATGCGCCCCCAGGATAGAAATATACACGGGGTTAGGGGAAATTCTCATGCTAATATAAATAATTTTGATATTTAATCTGTAAGTTAAAAAAATATCTTTATATATTTATGTATGTGCTAATCTGTACACACATAGATATAAATTTCAGGATAAAAGGATACACCCTTTGACTACATTTTCTGGAGCAGTGTAGTCCCATTTTAGATGAGAAATCTGTGTGAAGGTCGTAACATCAGCCCTAAAATACAAAAGACATGATTAGGAAACCCTGTAATGTGAAAGAACTGAAAAGGATTTTCTTTGTATACTATCTGTCCAATCTAATTAACACAATGAAAGTCAATCATTATTGGAAAACTAACACAAATATTAAATAAAGGCATATTTACTAACTTGATTTTGGGTACAACAGCTGTTGTATGTTTACTAGAGGATTTGGCCCTCTGTTCCAAGGAGTGTTCCAGCTGTTCTGTGTGACTTATGCTTCCTGTCACTGATTTAATTTCTTCTTTTATTTCTTCCTGAAAGATATTTGCAGAAGCTAATAATATGCATGTAAGCCATTTATTACCAAACAACACTATAAACATTCCAAAGTGCAAATTTAACCCATTGGCAAACATACCATTCTCCTCTTGGCCTGGGCAATTTGTGACACCACCTGACTTGCTCCTGGACCTAAAGTTTCAGAGCGGAGTTCATCAAGAGCATTTGATTCTGCTTCCTCAACTTGCAGTAGCTCTGTCAAATCACAAATAATCAAATAGTGAAAGTGTCTTTGTTGTAAGTAAGGAATATATCACAACTTTAGAGGTTTCAGATTAGGACCTACTATACTGCTGCTTTAGAATGGTACCGTTACTGTCTAATGCATTGTATCATAGTCTATTATAATAATAACAGCATCAATATTAATAGCATTTGTAAAGAAAGCATTTCCCCCCAAAACTCAAGGGAATGTGAAAACAGGTAAGGTTACAAGATCTACTAATTGACTCCTTTGTGAATAAGCACTTATGGAGCCATCTATGTGCAGAAAAAATTATGCAAAAATACTACAGTGAAGTCTACAAAGTCCCAGCAACATGGGGTTAAGGCTACATTAATTTTCAAGTCTGTGTAACCTAAACTATCCTTTGATACCAACAATGTTCTTATACTGCCATAGTGGTACTGTACTATATTACAAAGAAGGAAAAAATATTTATGATGATTGATGGAGGCTTGACCCGTACCTCTGATGGTCTCTTTCAGAGCTAGCCTTGAGTGTTCACATGCAGCCAAAGAACTGACCAAGATGTCTTTGGATGCATTTATGGCAGAGTTGACCCTGTTGTTTGCATACAGAGAGATGGCCTGGCTGGTCATCTCCTCCAGGCCAGCAATATCCCTCTCTATCGTGCTTTCTCCATTCTTTCCGACGCCCATCTTGCAAAATCCTGGAAGAAATGTGAGGAAGTTCAGTTATCTTGATATGATTTTCAAAATAATAAAAAAGCTTATGAAATGAGCTGTAAACCCAATTCAAACAGTATAGGATGCAATACTTGAGCCTATGAATACAATCTAGATAAAGGGTATCACACAAACTGTACATTCTATTAGATTTTAATTAATACAATGTAATTACCATATATCAACACTAATGACAAGTAAACAAAACACACTGCAATAACAAAAAATTTAGCCTACAAAACTAGGCATTTTTAAAAGTTGGTAATTACTGGTACTAAATTGTTTAAGGGGTAGGGCTCAATACATTACCAACATAATCATACAAGAATGCTCAATATTGTGCACCAAAATTTTGTATGCAAATCAATGCCCAAAGCTTGGCATTGACAAAAAACAGAAGTCTGTGACAAGGCGTGAATGATCAGAGCGATTTTGAAAGGTAACCTTGCCTACTTGTTTCTGGAGGCACTGCTGAAAGAGAAGGGTATTCTCAGAATAGGGGGCTATGGGGGCAATCACAAAGAATCAATCCCACTTGGCTGGGCCAAAGAAAGTACTCAGGGTAGGTAGGAGTGATCCTCTACATAGGGTCCCAGTCCCCGTCTCCTAAGCCCTCCCACGACGACGAGCTAGGTATTGGGAAAGTCCATCTAAGCGACAACGAGCAAGGTATTGGGAGGGTGAATGGGTTATAAAGTAGTTGTAAATTTATTCTTAAAAAATCTATTTATAATAATTATTTTTTCATAGCTCATATTTATAGCTAATACTTCTATTTCACCATTTTGTATTTCATTAAGGTTTATCTTTTGATATTGTATACTGTTTTCTATACATATTGCTATGCCTCCTCCCCTTTGTTCTGGTCAGTCTTTTCATAATCTTTTACATCAAAGTTATAATTTTTAGCAAGCCATGTTTCGCAGATTGCGAATACCTCTGGGTTTACAATATATATAAGGTAGTCTATATCTATTTTTTGGTTCATTACTGATCTGGCATTCCAGAGGACTAATTTATTCATTAATCCATTCAAAAATTCTTTTAGGACTGGAGTACCTTCTGTTATTATTTCTGTAAATATTTCAAAAATTGATTTATCAGAATCTAAATTTGTGGTTATATTTGATATCAATTTGAATATATCTTTTACAACTTCTATTCAAGATGATTATTTTTTTTTTTTTTTTTTTTCCTTTTTGTTGTTGGGGTCTTTTGTACTGGCGTTGGGAGTGTCCATGTTACTGGGGACTTTCCGCATTCCTTGTCTTTTGAGTTTTGTTCGTGTGTGTGTTTGTTCTTCTGTTTTTACGTGATTGCTTTTATGTTTTGGTTTCACCGATGGGTTTGGTGTATCTTTGGACAATATGCAGAACGAGGTAGTATCTGAGTTGGGAGACAAAACTATATAATTTGATAGACTGATACAAGACAATTTCCGTCTATGACAATATTTGAGCAAAGGTTTGTGTTGTGGTTGGATTTGTTTGCCGTGTAGTGTTTGTGTTGTCATCTGTGCTGCACGTATTCTGCATCTGTGTTGTCTATCTCGGCTGTAGTTATCATGATGTTTTTGTGGACTGATTGATTCGATTTTTGTGTCGTAAGGTTTAACTGATGGAAGAGTTTCTTTTCACGTCCAAGTTATTTGGTGTTACGTTGTTTTTGTTTATGTCCTGGGCTTTTAAATGGCAATTTTCTGTTGATGTTTTGTCATAGGCTGAATGGTTACCTTTACAGAGAAAACTGATTTTGATTTTGAAGGAAATGATCCCGTGACCAATACTTTGGGCATTTAGAACATTTGGAGATGGGAGACATGCTGGAAAATCGTCCATGGCTAATCTGGTAATCTTATTGGGTGGCTGAAGCTTGAGGGAATTGATTTGTTTCGCCAAATGACTCAGTATTTACGTTTTTTTTTTTAGATGTACCTTGGGTTCCTGACGTAGGGTGCAGTGTTCCTTGGTCTGTCTCTCGGTTTTTTAGTTTCGTGCCTGTCTGGCCTTACAAATTCGGTGAAATGTGGAGACTGTTCGCTCTCTTGGCTCGAGTTGTTGTTCCTCTTCTCTTCCTCTCTTCTTCCTTCTTTTGTAGGGTTTTAGACACGAAGTTGGTGCGCGACCGCCTCCCGTCGCGACCTTTTGACTTGTGTTTGAAATTTGCTGCTCGCTGCGTCGACTCCTGCAGGACTGTGTCTTAGGATTTTTATTCTTCTTTTCAAACCTTTTTCATTATATTTATCTGGATTTTTATTCTTCTTTTCAAATCTATTTCATTATATCTATCTTAATGGAAATGTATCTGTTTAATCAGCTGGTGTAATTGGCCAAATTTAAGTGAGAAAAAGACTATCTCTTCGCATTAGCTTATTATTTGAACGCAATTTCATTAGAATGGATTCAAACTTTGATGAAGCGGATCTAACAGATGCAATCAGTTGTTATTGATAGAAATTCACATGATGAAAAACATGATTCAAAAGTAAATCAATGATAATTGAAAGCTCCAAAACCTTTGAAAAATAAGCCTATTAGACAAATATATACAAATATACTGAAATAGCACAGGGGCGCCGGAGTACAACCGCCCTCCGGACACAAACAAACGGGCTCCGACGCCAAACACGGCACTGCCTCTCTCTTCCTAATCCCCGTAATACGTGCAATAAGACAAATTCAACAAAATGGATGGGTCGCCGGAACCAACGGTGATAGCGAGGACTCTGAAGGACTTTAACCAGTTTATATTCAGTGGCAAGAAGAGTGGAGACTCGTCTGTGGGGAGGGACTCGCGGCAGAAACTCAACTTCTCTGAGGCTTTTAGTGATTCCTCGAGTATTTTTGAGGATGACTCGAGAACCAGCGTCGGAAGGTCAAGGAAGAGGCAGATCGATGAAATGACAGGATTAGGTATGAAATATCTTTTGGTTGGTTGGATGATTCTGCACCAGCCTGGTCTGATCCCAGGCTGGAGAGTATTTTTCTTGCGCGGGGAATATCACATTTTCTCATGCGCGGAAAACATCATTTTGTATACATTCGTGCGGACGGATCTGTGGATGGATGATGAAACATGTGCGCAGAAAGGTAAAAAAAAAATTATGTGCGGAAGATGATTTAAAAAAGAACTAAGTGTGTGCGGGAACTTACCCGAGAACTACATTTGTGTGGACAGAATATGACCAAATATGCGTTCCCCGCACAGACCAAACTCTACAGTCTGGGTCTGCTTGTTTTATGTATGTTTTGGAAAGACCCCTTCAGATAAAGTCATAGTGTCTGTGCATTGTATTTTAGCAAAGACAGGTGAGCCTTCATGTGACAGGGATGGTGACAATTTCAATCTTGCAAGACTATATTTGGTAGATCTGTTTTGATCCGTCCTGAGGGGCCAGTATGGAAAGTACAGCAGGTGCACACCCAAGATTTTTCTTTGAGTTCCTGGTTGCACACCTTAGTGATTTATGGTAGTTAACCATTAATATAATTATGTAATTTGATTTATGGAGTTTGAAGTGCACACTTGGTAACTGTTGCACACTGCACACAATTTTTTTTTTGTGCACACAGATCTCTTTGAAAAGTACCTTTCCATACTGGCTGAGGGGCGGCATTTAGGTCAGTGCAGGTACTCTATGATATTAATTATATCATTATCCTCTATATGCACAGATTTATTTTTTATAATTTTGACTTAAATTTGATTCTTTTATAAGCAATACTATATATTTTCTATATGATTTTATTATTATTTTTATTTAGTGGCCCAATGCTGGAGAAATATTTAACTAATTTTCAACTCAAGTTTGATGTGAAGGAGTTTTGAATGATACACTATTATAGTAAATCTTACTGGAAGGCTAATGCCAGATATCTTGTTAAAGGTAGTTACAGTTATTATTGTTTTTATCAGGACATGAAGTATATCAAATGGGGAAAAAATGAGGGGTATGCATATTTATGGGTTGGACAGTACTATGGCTTTGTTTGGAGTTGTATATGTTTTATTTTTTCAAGTCCTGTGATGAACTGATTGTTTGCTTTTTTGTTACTGATTATTGCTTTTCATGATAGCATTGTTCATGTTTCTGCATTTTGTATTTGTTGACCTTTTCTGGACAATAATATGCTCCTTCCTTTCAGACATCTCAAAAAGGTTTCGAGAAAAGGACAGTCAGATCATAGATGCAAAAACCACCATAAACAGACTCGAAGGGCGCATTCATAACATGGAACTGTCGGCCAAGAAAGCAAAAGCAGAAATGGAAGAAGAATTGGAAAGATTTAAACGGAAGCAGCTGAGAGACAAAGAATTGGTATGCTGTCATTTCTCTTACGATATAGAATTCTTTTATTTGGTAGTTATTTGTTATGTTTCTAATGGCTTTGTTTCATAAAGAGATAAACTCTAGTTTCTCAAGATAAATAGATAAATTTATGAATAATTGTCTTAAGAGATTCCCTACTTTATACATGAATTTGAGTATAAGTAAATATTTCAGGTGGTATGCTTAGTATGTACAGCACAATACAGATGTTGATTTATGGAAACCAATAGCATTGCTGTAAAGAATGTTGTTTTATCGCAGTCTTGCTGTCTGTTGTGTGAGAAGTTTGAAAGGGTTAATTGAAATACACATGTCGGATTTTAGTTTGAGTATTATTTGTTTTTAATATAAGTATTCATTAACCAATGGAAAAAAATCAATAAAATTATTACAGATAGATGACCTACAACACAAGATCAAGCAGATGCAGGCTAAGGAACGTGAGATCCAAGGGACCGCCCACAAAGTGAAGGAGGAGTACACAGCCACCAGCTGGGAGACAGAGAGCAAGATGATCAACATGCAACGGGAACACATTGAGCAGTGCAACCGGCTCCAGGAGGTATGTGCGGTCTTTAGATTTCTTCATCTGTCTTTGGGCTTGATAGTAGTGTTATTGTTATCATCTTTATCAGGATCCTCATTCTTATCATTAGCCATTTTCTCATCAGTTTTTAGTTTATGAGAGTTATTTGTGATTCATGATTTATTGTTTGTTATTAATTAGTTGTTGTTCATAATTCATTAATCAACTTATTCACATCATGATGATCATGATGTTCATCATCATCATCCATCATCATCGTCATCTTATTTTTATTGTTATTGTTTTATTGTTTTTGTTATTTGTTTTTTATTGTTATTGTTTTTGTTATTGTTATTATCTTTATTATTGTTAAAGTTTTTGTTATTTTTGTTATTGTTTTTGTTGTTATTATTATTATTATTATTATTATTATTATTATTATTATTATTATTATTATTATTATTATTATTATTAATATTATTGTCATTATTATTGTCATTATTATTATCATTATCATTATCATTATTATTATCATTATTATTATTATCATTATTATTATCATTATCATTATTATGATTTATTATGATTATTATTATTATTATTATTATTACTATTGTTGTTACTATTGTTATTACTATTGTTGTTGTTGTTGTTATTATTATAGTTTTCAAAGAAAATGGTATAGATCCAGAGTTTGAAATTAAATTTTATTTCTTTGATAGTGATGAGAGCATAGGACTGCAGATTTTGTTAGTGATTAATCTTCTTCCTTTGCCTGCAGGAGATCACAAGTCTTCGCCAGAAAGCACTGTATCTTGAAAGAGTGATGGAAGAAAAGACATCGCAGGTGATTTTGAGAGATCTGTGTCTGAATATTTGTTGAAATGATGCTTGTTTAGGCATCGTGATCTTTGATGTTTTTGTATACCTTCCTGTGTATATTTTTTGATAATATTGCATGCCGTTCATTAACACTTGTACTGTAGGATGGTTGAAGCATCTTATTCTGGTCTCTAATGCTCTGTGTTTTGCTGTGAAGGTTGACCTCGCACAGTCCTATGTACAAGATTTGGAAAAACAACTTGCAGTTGCCCAGCACAAGCTCAGAGATTCAGGTGCAAGTCAGTTTGAGACAGAGGCACTAAAACTGCAGCTTGATCAAGCGAAGTCAAAAATTAAAGTAAGGACTACTAGTCTTATATATATATTTTTTACCAGGATGTCTTATGTGGCTTAGATTTGGTATTTCTTTTTCATACATTAATAATAAATTGTCAAAAATGTAGTCAGCTTTGTAAGGAACTACAAAGAGCCTTTAGCTCTTTATTGTTAATCAAATGTGGTTAAAAACAAGCAATATTTTTCACCAGAAACTGGAAATGCACCAGGAGGAACTAGAGAGTTTGCAGAGCAAATCAGAGGTATTTGAAACAACAGTGCGCAAGCTTCCTGCCCTGGAAAAAGAAATTGCCAAATTGAAAGAAGAAAACAAGTTCTTGAGGTTTGTACCACTTGTTTGTCTTAAATTTAGTACTGTTTTGTGATCATAGGAAGTGGATTACGTAGATGGTTGAATAATAACCATGCTAAGGAAATGTGCCTTGGCTCATTTAGATCATAATGTAAACAAGAGATTTAGATCAGACACAAATGCTCTTAGTGTATATTTTCTTTTGCATTTTGACATTAATCTAAAAAAAAGAAAAACAAATTTTGCGACAGAGAGACAGCAATGAACACTCAGCTTCTTGAAGAGAGGCTGACAAATGCTCAGCATCAAGTGCAGCTGCTTGAAAGTCGATGTCAAGACAGTGCTTTGATGCAAGCCAAAGCTGACTCCTACAAGGCAAGTTAATCTGCACCTTAATGTGTTGTAGATTATGTGTGGTTTTGGCAGATTTATAGTTTATATATTTTTTTCACCTATTTTTTTTTGAGAGGGGTATTTTGCTTACGTTGTATGAGATTTTATTTTATTTAGAGGGACTAAGAAAATAATAATCACATGTAAGTACATTGTCTGTATTATGATAACTTTTCTTTACCATTTATATTATAATTATCATATTTATTTATTTGTGCATTCCAAACAAAGAAAAGACATCCAAAATTTAAAACTGAAAGGATTTTTTTTTATATTAAAGCATTATTTCAATAAAAAGAACTTGCATCTCAGACTCTTCAAATAGAAATAACTTTGTAACCTACCAAAAGAACTAGTTAGTCCTTGTCTCCATATCACGGGAAAAGCTATGGAGAAGTGCCTTTCCCCCTTAATCAAACTCTATAACTCTTAAAACCATCTTACAGGATGCGCTGCAGCAATATGAGAAAGTTGTCAGTGAGGAGCTGGGTTTACCTCAAGCAACTGCTTATGATTTACAAAAGCAATTGATGAAACTAAAGCAGGGAGACCAAACGATAGCGGAAGGCATTGCAGAACTGCGTGCAAGGTAATGGTATAGATTATCACTTAATTTGGAATACTGAAGGATGTATCTGTATATTTGTCAAATGTTTATTGCTATGCTCATTGTAATGAAAAATGTATATTCAACAGCCAAAAGTCGTTGGAAAGTAGCAGAGCGTCAGAAAGTGCTCAGCTGTCAAGTCTCAGAGCGAAGCTGGAGAAACAACAGAGAAATACTCAACAGAATGCCCAGCTTATTAAAAGATTACAGAGAAAGCTTATGCTTGTAACAAAGGTAATATGAGTTTATATTTTTGATGAAAGAAAAACAACAACATTATAATGCTTCTTTAGCCACTGGTTGCAGGTTCTATGTCCTGTCCATTACACTAGCAAGTAGTAGTAGATTTCCCGATTCCTTGAATTTTCAAGATTTTTTCCTAATTAATATCTATATTGTTGCTGACAGTGCCTCACGAACATAAACAAATAAAAGAGAATCTTTCCAAGAATCAGGGCAAAGGGTAAACGGGCGAGATAGATATAACTAATAATTAACTCCTTGGGGACTAAGTCCTTGTAGAGCCAGTACTCATTTGTGCATTTATAAATTCAATTCATAAACCAAAATTATAGTGCAAATGACATGTTGACATGCATTCTGTGACCAATGGATTGGACAAATATGCTCATGTCATGGAAGCTTAGCAAGTCATTTGTTTGTGACCCAATCACTGGGATGTGTGCCTACTGCAAGCTGGATGATAGCCTCATAGTTGAGTGGCATGCACTATTGAATGACCATCCTTGCCCAACTTTACCTAATATTTAATTGTTGTTTTTGGTCTAAGGTCTTTACTCTGAGTAGCCCCTCACCCCCCAAAAATAGACACCAGGATGCATAACAAATCCAGAGGGTGTTGATGGTTTAATATCCAAAAGTGTGGAGTCAGAATACATGAAGATATATTGATATCTCTAGGACTAGTAACCCCTGTAGGCTAATACTCCAGCTTAAAGTAGGAGGTTACCAAGGACATCTGAGAGCAATCTGGCATCTACCTGGCTAATAGTTACAAAATGGGAAACTCCAATTTACCATAAACACACCTGGATTTCTTGTAATTTCTTGTATTGCTCTTCTAGTATTTACCTATTAGCTCTCGACCTTTCAGTCTATGTCTCTAATTTCCTTTAGAAAAAAGGTTATGATTGTAATTAGGTACTGTAATCCCTAACAGGAACGTGATAGTTTGAAGAGCATTCTTACTTCCTATGAGTCTGAGGTGACTATCAACTACTCAACGGTGAGCCAGGAAAGAATTGTGAAGTTAGAGACACAGCTGGAGTCTTACAAGGAGGAGCTGCAACGGCTTGAGAAAGAGTTAGATGCATTCAACAAGGAGTCTGAGGAAGAGAAGGATGTTCCTCAGGTATTCTCTAAAAAAGATATTTCTGATGTGTATTTCTAGAGTATTTGATATGCCTTTTGAACTAATGTATATAAAGGTTTGGAAATTAATTTTAAGTTTTATAATATGTATACTAATACATTGATTTTGACATTAAAGAGAAAGGATGATGCAGAGAAAATTTCTGCCCTTGAGAAGAAAGTGATTGAACTTGAAAAAGATATTGCCAAGTTAACTCAAGAAAAAGAAACCCTGGAGCTGAGACTGGAAAGCCGAGCACTGAAAGGAGATTATGACCCCACTAAGACTAAGGTTATACACTTTGAGTAAGTCTTTGGCCTCCTCTGTTGTTTTGCATCCTGAAATACATATGAATGATTTTATGTTTGATGGTATTTTCTTTTTATATGTCTGTGCTTTCTGGCATGTCTCTATTTTATCAAATTTGGATTTCTAAAGAAAAATTTAAAACATATTATTAGTTAACATCAATAAAAATGAGAAAAAATATATGGATTTACAATACTAGCTGAAGTTATTTTCATTCACAAATTAATACATGATACTTGCATTATGTGCATAAATATACATGGATGAGATATGTTCTTTTTGTGTAACGTGTAAAGTAATTTAAGTGCAAAATGTAGTGGCTTAAATTTAAAAAGGGCATGATTAAACTTTTTTTCTGTAGGAATAATCCCTTTGCCAAAGCTGTGGAGAACCGTGCCACAGAAATTGAGCGGCTACAGACAGAAAATGATGCTCTGCGTGAGAGGGTCCGGCTTTTGGAAGAGGGAGAAATGCATGACATTACCCAAAAGGTTGGGATGAAAGTGAACAGTGATGGCCCATCTTCAAAAGAAATTACAGGTACGGAATGTTGAAGTCTTTTTGGTTTCTCTTTTGGTGTCATAACAGTTAACCCATTCGTCCCGGGTGTCACATATATGAGACACAGGGAAAAAATAAACAGTTTCGGGCTGCCCGCCAGTGCGATGCTGTCTCGGAGCCGTGCTCCGCGGCAAAAGCGGCGGGCGGCCGGGCGGGCGGACAGACTCCGGGGAAGCTCCGCCCGCCGATTTTGTAGCTTCCCGGATTTTTTAAATTTTGGCTACAAAATGTACCCCGGCGCGGGTGGGTTAAGGGATGGATTTATCTGTTATAATGAAAAATAAATGAGTATTTGCATGGATATATAAAGAAAGAGTTAGCGAAAGGGGAGGATAGTGAATGTGAGGATAGTGAGGGGGAAAGGGGGGAGTTGGAGTAGGGAGAACAGGAAAAGCAAGAGAATGAAAATGGGAAATAGGGAGAGATAGAGGTGCAAATATTTATACAAGCTGTCACTGTATATCTGGTACATTGTTTCAAATCTGTTACAGAACTCCAAGAGAAAATCACATCTATGGAGATGCGTAATAAACGCCTTATGGAGGCCTTCAAGAAGAAATCTCAAGCGATACGGGAGGTGATGTATCGACTCACTGGCTACAGAGTGGATGCTTGCTCTGATAATCAGTATAAACTAATCAGTATGTATGCAGAATCTCAAGCAGACTATCTGTTGTTTGAGGTGAGTAACATTGTATTGTGTTGTCATAAGGCTTTAACACTTTGTATTCAATGATATTTTTCACATTATCTGGAAAAAAATGAATAATTCTTGTTGATACATATTGAATACTTTAACCCAGTTGTGATGGGAGCTCCCAGAGCCATACAGAACCACATGCTGAGTTGTGTGAGGAAAAAATGGAAGCTTAGGAAATCTAAATTTACCCCACTTTGTATGATCTTGGTTGAGGCAAAAATGATAATTTAGGTAATGAGGCTAAGAAGAAGCTTTAAGCTTTCTTTTCAAGGTCTGTTTCTCCTCTGTGACCGTAGCTGGGTCCAAACAAGCAAACAATAATTAATGCATACAACTTAGAGCAGGCTTAACCACATATAATCTGATATGATTGGCCATCATCCGTGGCGTCGACAGGTTAAAGTATTAGCTCTGAAATGGACATTCATTGCAAATAAAATCTCTCTATTCCAGCAAACAAAAAATAATGAATTGCAGCTTCTCGAGACCGAGTTCTCAAGCACGCTGGAAGACATGATTGATGCTTATCTTCGCCATGAGAACTGCTATCCGGCCTTCCTTTCTGCCATCACCTTGGACCTCTTCAACAGACAGACCATGGATCCCCCTCCTGCGTCTTCAAGTGAAGTAGAGGAGGATGAAGAAGAAGAGGAGGAGGAAGAAGAAGAGGAGGAGGAGGAAGAGGAGGGAGAGGAGGAAGGAGATGATCATGACCAGCATATGGGAGAACCCGGACAAGATAATAATGATGATGACTTGATAATTCTAGACTAGTGTATATGTTCTCTGTAAAATGAGATAGCTAACATATTCTTGAAAGCTGTTGTTAGTAAGCAAATCAATACAAAAAGTTCTGTAAATATATTATCTTTTTTTTGTTTTTTAAATGTCCAACTACAGTACTGTGAATACATCTCAGAAGTGGTCAGTGGTGTATCATTATTACATATTATAAACTTGCAGTACTAGTTTATGCCACTTTCAATTCAATGTTGTTGTTAGGGCAACCGAAATGAGATTGGGTTTGCTTGTGATTTGTAGACTAAATGTCTGAAGGTGCATTAGTATAGAAATTTTGAGTGCTGATACTGATACTCTCATTATTTTTAGATGAAATATAACAGTTGGTACCAGTAATAAGTACAATATCATCAGCATTGCTTTTCTTTTAAATGCTCATAAAAATCTTTATTCCGAAATGAACTAGGATTTTCCATCTTGCTGAAAGTCTACACAATGTGAGGATGAATTGAAGGTCAAAGTTTTTGTAAAAATAGAATTTAAAAAAGGAAGAAAAGAAAAATTTCCAGAGTAGTCAAATGCTTGAAATGCTTTTCCACTTAAAAAATAAAACAGTATATCATATTTATTCCTAGCAAAGTATAGGAAATTTGTTTATTTTTATAGCATGGTATGTTCATTAGAATCCTGTTTCTTTCAAAACATGGATCATATTATAATGAAAAATAGGACTCTAGTATGGTGAAATACTTTCAGAGTGAAGTTCTGTAAATATACTTTTAGGTGAGAACCATTCAGTGGAACTGATACCAGTACTCTAACAACAATAGATGAGGAATTGTTTTCTAAAATTTGTATATTTCCATAATTGTAAGGTAATAAAAATATTAGTATTGTCTACCCCAAAGTTTATTAATATGCCCTGTACAAGAAAAACTACTCTGCCAAACGTAAATGGGGAGGACAAGGAAGTTTATAATTATCCACTAAGTGTTTCATAGAAAAGATTTTGACACAGTCATGTTTTTTCTTTCATGGCATCAATTTCAGTTGATGAGAATATTTAATTCAGCAGTAAGTGTATATAATAATTTGCAGACTAACTGAGTAACATGTATTACTTACACTTATATATATATTTTTTACTATACCTTTAAAAGGAAGGATATTTTTACCTAGTCTTCATTGCTAGTGCTGTATCTGATGCAAACCTTTCTTCTGTTTGCATTGAAAAACTTTTATTTGTTTAATATGGTGGGTTTTACTAATTATTAGTCATAATGAATGATTTTTAACTTAATAGTATCTTTGTGAATAAGCAGTATGATGAATAGCTGCTCAGTATTACTTATCAACATAAAAGCTTTAAGCAAAAGAAATGGGAACTATGTTATCAATGCAATGTTATCAATTTCATTATCCCATGATATCAGCAAGCAACTGATACTTTACTAAATATGTAGAGAATTATTTTCAGGGAGGACTCCAAATGAAATAATAATGCCAAAAAGGAATAGCCACATTTTATTTAAAGAAAAAGAAAAATATATTCATATCATATATAGGTAATAGGTAATTACTATGGCCAAGAATATTCTTCCCAAATACAATATTCTTTGTAATAAAAAAAAAAAATCTAAAGCTACATGAATTAAATATGACATTTATTCTATATCAATTTTGTTTAAAATCAAAACTGCTTAGTCAGCCTTAACCCACTGGTGTCGGGTAATTGCACTGCCCACTGTAATTTTGTTTTGCGAATTTTGTTTATACGTAGATGACTACATGCGCTTAGTTACCAAGGAGTCAATTTGTAGGCCTACCAAACCTCACCTGATATCCCATTCCCTGAGTTTTTGGAAAAGTGTAATTGATAGCATTACTGTTATTAGTACTATCATTGACAGTGGGATTATTATAGTGTTATTATCAATACTTAAAGCAATAAGAAATAAAAGATAAAGAAATCTTTCCCAAAATCAAGGATATGAGTAAATGGCGAGATCAGGTACGCCCAGTAATTGACTCCTTGGGAACTAAGCTCTTGTAGTCATGTAAATGTAAATACTTCACAGTAAGGTTTACTGTTTTTCAAATATACATAATTAAAAATTATTGGGTTACCCTGATCTTTATCTCTGATTTTATTTTTATGTTTATCTTTACTCAAATTCCATGAATTACATGTACTCTATCTTGTATTTAAAGTACATTCTTAGGCAAACATACAGACATGCATGCACACATGCATAGACACACACATATATGTGCATAAATATAATACATGTTTATGCATTAAGTCTACATTCTAATGCAAAGTGTGCACACAACACCACCACACACCACACACACACAACACACACACACACAACACACACACACGCACACACACAACACGCACCACGCACACACGCACACCACGCAACGCACGCACTCAACACACGCACTCACACACACGCACACACACACACACACACACACACACACACTCACACACCACATCACTCACTCACTCTCTCTCATTATTCATTCACTCACTCACTCACTACTCACTCACTCACTCTCCCTCTCTCTCACTCACGTCTCACTCTCACACACATTGATGTTAAGTGCACTTGTTGACAAAGTTTGCATCTTGAAAATAACCAAAGGATGCAAATGACAAAGAAGTGAAGGGGCTTATGTCTCTTTTTTTTCTTTATTTTCAGAGAATCAATGTGTCTATTCATACATAAATATTAAGTAATTAATTAGGCCTCCTTAAATATAATAATGGAGGACACAACTAAACAAACACCCTGATAATAATTACATATTCTAAAGTACTACTATCCAACTTGAAATGGATGATACAAATCTATTTATAAATAAATCCTACAAAATACTAGTTCCTATTGCTGCTAAACATCTGTTTATATTATATGTCAAGTTTGGACCCTTGTTTTACATTCTGTCTGAACGGTTAGTAAAGAAATATTTACATGCTAAGGTTGACACTACTCTCATTTACAAGTGTTGAAGATACTCTTCTCCACTACTCCCTTTTACCCCTCCTTAGTGGCTGATGAAATATTACATTTACCTAGAAGGCAACTGATGTTCTATAATGTTTTGCAATTTCATAGGCAATTTTAAGTGTCTAACCTGGAAATGTGTTACCAGAAAGTGTGTGGGGGTACAAAAGCACTATGGCAACTTTTACCTATTGCCAGTCATCTTTGCTCTGTGTCGGAGTGTTCATGTCAACTGCATTGAATGAAATTATACAGCTCAATTGTTATTTGCCTGTCAATGTCTTCTGTAATCTGAACTCCAGCTAATATCTTTGTTCTATGTTAATCTTTACTGATAATTTCTTGAGGGAAAAAAGTTTTACCGAGATCTGAATTTGCAGAAGATATGCTGACTAAGGCATGTTGTCCAGCTCACTATGGAGGGGTTAATAATTCTATGACGGTCTATTCAAGTAGTTGTCTGGGAATGAAGGTAAGCATAATAAATGGGCATCATATGAGCTGGGAACTTAGCTCTAAGAATAAAAATTGCATTATTCATTCTATACACCTACATACACACACTGTGTATAAAATATGCTTTACTATGTAACTCTATACATACATACAAAAAACATACAATCCTAGTAAAATATAATTCATATCACATCTGCAATTATATAAAGTTGCAGTTTATTGGTTCTTAACCTGTGGAGTGCATAATTACCCTCTTTCAACCCACACTGTGATGTGCAATTATTCAATTACAAAATTTATTTCATTATGTGTTTTTTAATTATTATAAGCTTGAATATAAACATTCATGGTATCACCTGGAGGAGGATGAGGAAAAGAAGGAGGAAAAGGATGAGGAGAAAAGGGATGAGGAGGATGAGGAGGGGGAGGATGAGGAGAAAGTGAAGGAGAAGGAGGAGAAAAATGAAAAGAAAAGAGGAAGAAAACGCTTAACTGAGGCTCGTGATCCCAAGCTCAGTAGTATGAGCTGTGCCATGCACTCTGCGAGCTAAAGGCAAATACAGTTCTTAAAATCAAAACCCCACTTTTTCCCCTGGACTTACTAAAAAAAAGTGGAATGATGAGCAATTATACTCAAGGGCTAATGCATGACTTCTTTCCTTCTTCCCACCTGTCGGCCAAGGTCGTATCTGCATTAACCACAATAAAGCTTCATCTGGTCTTTTATTTCATCTATGGTTGTTTCTCCAAATTTTTCCTCTTGCTCTTTCATCATCTTAAATATGGCAGCTAACTGTTGAGACTGAGCCCTGGAAAAAAAAGATGAATGTTTTGCTTTTTGTACTAGAGATCTATCGCTACATTTCTGCTCATTTCCTTGCCTATAGGAACGTCAGATAATACAGCAATTATATAAAGACTTATAAATCTATAACAAACAAATGCAAAAGTCTTCAATAGCAGTAGGAACAAATATATCAAGGAAGCATTTCCAACTGGACTGAAATAGCAAACTTAATCATGGCTAAACTTCAGTGAGCATCCAAGAATCCAGCAATGCCAAATGCATTATAAACTACATCTTGTAATGACTCAATAACCATCTTCAACATATGCTCAGAACCAACATATCCCACTTACTCTCTCTCAGCTTGTCGCTGTTCATCACTCATGTGAGTCTCAATGTTGCGTTCCAGTGCTCGGCGCTGAGCCTTCTTTACATCTCCAGGCGCATGGTGGGCCATATCCAACAACCTCTGCAGTTCCTGGGGTTTGTTGGAAATGTATTAGATATATTTCAAAGACACAAAGTATAAAAACAATGTTTAACTAATTTTTAAATGGTTACTCTTGGTTTAGGCTTTCAGATATGCATAATTAATAATGTTATAAAAAAAAGTGAATGAAGGCATCAACTACCTGTCACTAGCTTACCAGCCTTCACTGAATTGTATTCTATGCTATTATAAAAATGGCACACAACTTCTCTCCAATCACTGATGAATACTAAAAGCTCCACAAAGACCCCATGTGTGAAAAAGAGAATCCATTAGACAATCAATAGGACCAATTTCCTGTCAAGACTGAGATGAAAGCAATCAATACAGCTTATCCTCTGATGGGTCCCTAACTAATCAATGTCATCAGGTACCTGTGCATCAACCTCCACCTTTATCACCTTTCATCTCAGAGGCTAAATTAATATTTCTCTGAAAGACTTCCAATAATGGCAGGTAATGCAAGGGCTGCAGGTCAGGTATATTAGCTTGAGAGATTATACAGACTATTTCCAGTGTTCAAGAACATTAGGTGAGAGAGAAAGAGTGGGAAAGGAAGAGGACAAAAGAAGGCTACTAGGTATTTAAGCAACAATAGTATGAAAAGAAATACTAAAATAATGAGAAATATTCCTAACTATCAACACACATATATTCACCAATAGAAAACAATAAAAAACAAATGTTCCAACATATAAAGACAAACAAAATAATTACCTGTTCATCATCCTCTGGTTCATCTATCTTGATCTTTATTTTGGTTTTGCGATTCCTAATACTGCTGTTAAATGGAAGGATCCACGAGACAATGATGATAGCCGCTGACAGGGCCACAGATGCCAGAAATATAAAGGAAGTGTTGTTCCATGATACATTATAGACATCTAACCAAGCCTGGAAAGAGATTTACACAAAAGTGTATCAATAAATATAAATATCATTTTATACTTATGTTGCATTATTAGGCTTGGACAAAGCGGTAT